GTATTACTATCTCTTATTTGCCAGGTTTTCATTTTACGTTGCCAGGACCTACGAAAGTGAACAAATGCTTTACCAGAGAGCTCTGTCACCAGTTCTTACCCCACCAATCAAGCAATGACTGGTATTTCCTCCAACAGCCAACCGGTAGGCATCATTTGTAAATCAAAATACATTTTGCCTTTAAGCAGCTTTGTTTCTAACCTGAAGCAGTCATTCTGTAATCCCTCACCTCCAAGGTGGTGCGAATGATCCCAGAGATGAGGCTACACAGCTGGTTGCCCCGGGTCTGGAAGGCAGCCAGGTCGACATTCAGCAGATTCCTTGTGCTGATTGGAGGCATCCAGTTGCTGGTTAAGCTGAAGGACCTCCTCTTGCAGGGTGTACAGGTTGCGTAGACGGACCTGACCTTCCTCCTTCCGAAGCTGCTCCTGCTCTGCCTGCTTCACACGCTGTTGCTCTGCCTCTCGAAGCTTCAGGTTGAGAATCTACTGAAAGGGCCACCGAGTCGCTGAGTGGGGGCACCTCTCCCTTTCCACACTGCTCAAATCCTAGGCGAGCTACATCTTTTCACAGGCGGGCTAGAGCAGGAAATAAACTCCCCAAGGCCAATACACAGGTTAATTGCAATTTTCAACTTGATTGGCTTGAAAAAGAACCTAGGAGAGCAGCAAGTTATACCTCTACAGGTTCCTGAGGACATTTTCAGAGAGGATTAACAAAGGAGGAGGGGCCTACTTGAATATGGGTGGTACCAACCCCACAGGCTGAGCCCCAGAAGAGAAGGAGAAAAGGGCATAACCCAGAGAGCAGAGGCTTTCTGAGCTATCTGAAACCAGTAGCTGAAACAATCCCCTTTCCCGTTGTCTTCTCAGGTATCTGATCACAGTGATAAAGAACTAACTACTACACAGCACTATGCAGGAGCATGATCATGGACCAAGGGCTCTAGAATGGCTGTTGACCGTGTGATGAACATTCAGAGGGCTAGAGACAGACACCAATACAATCATGCCGATTCTCCCAAGCACTGACCTTGGCTCTGTGGCGATGCTCAGCTTTTAGCTTCTCCTGGTGGCCCAGGGCTTCTCTGGTACTGATAAATAAGGCAGAGTCAGGGAAGTCTCCTGAGACAGTTTCCCCTCCCCCTCACTGTCATATTAGGCCTCTTCCCAAGGCTGGTCACTTTTCCAGGCTGGAAACTTCTTTGCCTATTTTATTTTGATATTTAAGGACTGACTTTCACCTTGGGATTTCTCTGGGAAAGCAAGCAAGCTGACCACACAGACATTTGCAGCAACCACTCAGGAAGACTCACCTCTTCTCCATCACTTCCTGTAAGTCCTGGAATTCCTTATGCAGCTTCAGTTCCTTCAGCTCATCAAACCTCTTCAGTTGTTCAGATGCCATCTCTGAGAGGGCTCGCACCTTCCTCTCCTGCTCCTCCTGCCACTGCCTCAGGCCCTCCTGAAAAGGATCGGTACCTGCCTTTAGAGTGCCGTAGTCATCTGGCTCATTTGCTCCTTGACCACCACGCTTAGTCCTTAGCACCTGGGAGACGCCAGCGCATGGAACCACCTGCTTGCTTCTCAAGAGCTGTGTGGAGCATTTATCCTTGGATGAAATTTTTTTTTCTCCTTTATCTGTTCTTTTTTTTTTGAGACAGGATTTCATGTAGCCCTGGCTGGTCTCAAACTTGTTCTGTAGCTAAGGATGACCTTTAAATCCTACCTGTCTCCACCTCCCTAGAGCTGGTAATATGGACATGGGGCCACTTTCATATGCTTCCAGGGATTAGCCCATGGCTTTGTGCATGCTAACCAACTTCTCTATCTGTGTGTGTGTGTGTGTGTGTGTGTGTGTGGAGGGGCAGTGGTAATGTAGTATGTGTATCACGTTGTGTGTATACAGTTACAGAGCAAGCTATCAAGTGTCTGCCTCTATCACTCTCTCTACTCTCTAATTGTCTTGACATGGGATGTCACACTGAACCTTAAACTCCCCATTTGGCTAAAAGTGGCTGGCCAGTCAACTTTCAGGATATGCCTCTCTCTCCCCTAACGCTGGGGTTACAGGCAAATACAACCATTCTGTATGAGTGCTAGGGATTTGAAGTCAGGTCCTCATGCTTACAGAGAAGTGCTCTTACACAGAGCCATCTCCCCAGGCTTCTTGCCATTTTTTAAGATCGTAATTTACTGTATTTTCTTTTTTTTTTTTTTTTGGTTTTTCGAGACAGGGTTTTCTCTGTGTAGCTTTGCGCCTTTCCTGGAACTCGCTGTGGAGACCAGGCTGGCCTCGAACTCACAGAGATCCGCCTGGCTCTGCCTCCCGAGTGCTGGGATTAAAGGCGTGCGCCACCACCACCCGGCTAATTTACTGTATTTTCAATTACAGACTCAGGCAAAACTTAATTTTACAAGCTAGAGTAGTCCCAAAGTCAAATTAATTAAAATAGTGCTGTTCTTTCAAAAGCTAAAATACAACTGTCACAATATAAACATATCTGACACATCTGGACCATCTGCAAATTCTAGAGAATTAAATGGAATATAGGAAAGCCTAAGTTAAAATTGACCAGCCAGATTTCACTTGAGGGTGTTCACTTTTGACCTTTACATCACCCTACCTCCAGAGTGAGCTTTCAGTGGGTGACATCTCCTAATCAGCATGTAGTGAGGTATCCTCCCCTGGGGGAGTCTAGTGAAAGGTGGCTCTCTAGGGTCAAGCCTCCCTTGCTCCATTGTCTCACTTACTGTCCCTCTCAGTCTGTGTGCCACTTCGTACATTCGGATGCAGCCTTCCACTTTGATCGCTCGGTGAGGACAGAAGGCGCAACAGGTTCTGTGCGCTGGCACTCCTGTGTGATCTAAACCGAAGACGAGAGAGAAAATAAATCAATGAATGAGCTTTTAACATGGTAAACTTATGTTGTCTTTTATAGACAAAGATCATGTCTTTGCTAGTTTTCTGTCACTGTAGTTTTCTAGGTGTTTTCCTAGAAAATTATTCAAAAGTAAGATTTATTTTGGAACCCAATTCAGAAGTTTTCTATACACAGCCACTTGAGTTACTTGTTGTGATGGAAAATTACTTTAACTATGTAAGATGTGTAACATTTGTTTATGCTGCATTTGTTTAATGATGTAAAGATGTGTTGCTTTGCCTACCTAAGGCACCTGATTGGTCTAATAAAAAGCTGAACAGCCAATAGCTAGGCAGTAGAGGGATAGGAGGGGCTGGCGGGCAGAGAGAATGAATAGGAGAAGGAATCTAGGCGAGGGGGAGAGGTGGGGGGGAGGGGAAGGAGACTCCCCTGGGCCAGACAGACACGGAGAAAACAGGAAAAGTAGGACATACAGAATGAAAGGTAAAAAGCTCCTGAGGAAAAATGTAGATGAAGGGAAATAGGTTACTATAAGTAATAAGAGCTAGTGGGACGAGCATAAGACAAGACCAAGCATTCATAACTAATAAGTCTTGTGTCATTATTTGGGGGTTGGTGGCCTTTACAACTTGTTGCTTTTTTCTGGACTGTGCTAAGACAGAACATGACAGCAGAAGCATGTGGTAGAGAAAAGCAGCCACCTTAAGGTGGCCGGGAAGCAAAGGAAAGAGGAAGGAGGGGGCCTGGGATTAGATTTACCTGACAAGGACCCACTCCCTCCAACCTGGTGCCCTATCAGATTATGAAGCCAGCAATGTATTAATCTACTGAAGACAATGATCCAAGCACTTCCCAAAAGCCTCACCTTGAATATTGCTGCCTGGAAGGCAAAGTTCAACACAGGATCCTTTGAGGAATGCTTGAGTTCCAAAGCCTAACACAATCCAACTTAGGAACCAATAATGGACTTATAAATCACCAATAATGAAAATAATTTAGTTTCCTGTCAGAATACAGTACAAATTGTACGAGGGGATTTCTGAGCGCTTGTGAGAAAATTCCAACAAAATAAGACAAACATCTTGTGACCTCATTTTCTTCAAAACACAAAACTGTTCTTGGACTGTGCTTTCCTGCCTCTCCCATGTGTAGCAGATAGAAATGTTTATTTCAGATTATTCATTACAACTGATTGTTTATTTATGTCTCTATGGAAAAACATGTTTTTGCCATGTGTGGGAGTGTCCTTGTGATTGTACACTTTACTCATGTGACTCTTCTTAACCCTCAGAGTATAAATTGTCCGCTGCTCTGAATAAGGTTGGCTATTATGTGAGACTTAAGTCCTGCCTTATTTTAAGCCCCACTCTCCCAGGTTCACACCGCCAACCACAGCAGTAAACAGGTTAGAAACTATTAAGGCCAGATAGCGGGACCCCCAAAAGACCACCACCATCACGGAGACCAAATCCCGCATGTAAGAGCAAAGAGCCTTTATTTCAAGCTCCAGAGCTTGGTCCCTCTGTCTGTCCAACACAGCGGTGAGAGCAGAGACCTGAGCTCAGGTGGGGCACAGTTTTTATCACAGCAGAGGTTGAGGTGAGGGGATTCCCAGGTCCAGTACCTTGATTGGCTGACAATTGTCTAGGGGTATCTGTAAAACAAAAAACAGGTGTGTGCTAGACTCAAGGGCATCTGGCCACCTTATCTAATGGTTGGAATGTTTGGGATGTCAGGTACTTCTTCACCCCTGGGTGGATCCCTGGGTGGTATCAGCTTAAGGCTTTTCCTGGATCAGGATGTTGCCTTCCAGTAAGCCTGTGACAGAAAGCTGTGTCTAGGCCCCTAAGTCTGTCATGGCTGCTGTGTGGTCAGGCTACTTTGGGGCCCCTCCACAAGAACCACTGTGTTTTCCATGATGTCAACTTTGTTCCTCCCTCTCTCTTTTCCCATTCCTGGCCCTAACTGATTTACATTTGATCTTCTCCAAAAGGCCAAGAAGCACAATACTTTACTTCTTTTTTTGAGACAGAGTCTCACTATGTAGCTCTGGCTGGCTTAGAATTTACTATGTAGACCACACTGGCCTTGAACTCACAGGAACCCACCTGCCTCTGCCTCCCAAGTTTTGCAATTAAAGGTGTGCACCACCATAACTGGTGTCACACTGGTTTTATTTTATTTATTTTTTTATTTTTTTTACTTTTTTCTTTTTTTCAGACAGGGTTTCTCTGTGTAGCTTTGGAGCCTGTCCTGGATCTCGATCTGTAGACCAGGCTGGCCTCAAACTCACAGAGATCCACCTGGCTCTGCCTCCCCAGTGCTGGGATTAAAGGCGTGCACCGCCGCCCGCCCGGCTCTGGTTTTCTTAATAAAATGATGTGTCTCCTTAGGCTGGAGAGATTGCTTAGCGGGTAAAGTACAAACAAGAAGGCCTAAGGTTTGGTCCCCAAATCCATCTAAAACTGCATGGTGGCATGTACTTATAATTCCAACACTGGGGGAAGATGGAGACAGGAGGATTCCTGGGACTACTGGACATCCAGTTAATCCTAATTGGTGAGCTCCAGGCCAATGAGAAACACTGTCTCAAAAATCAAGGTGACGAGTGGAGCACAGTGGCAACAGGACTTTGATCCCAGCGCTAAGGAGGCGAGTCACAATCTCTGTGAGTTTAAGGCCAGCTTGGCCTACAAAGCGAATTCCAGGACAGGTAGGACTGTTACACAGAGAAACTCTGTCTTGAAAAACAAAGTGAAGACCCTCGAGAATAAATATCCAAAGTTGACCCTCTGGCCTCCACACACATGTGCATACATCTACACACACACAAGAACACTGGGTGATGTGGTAAATACTGTTCCTACAAACAGCTGCAATAGGAAACAATCATTTCTTCAGAGTAATGTCACTGTCATGTGACTATATTAAACACTTTGATTTTTCAGCCAACAGGTGTTTTGTCTTCAAACTTTACCTTGGTTCCATTTGATGAAGGTGAGGAGGATTCTGGAGTGCTTCTGACAGGAGACTTAAGGAGTAAGGGTTGGTCCAGGCCTGAAGTAGATCCAGAGGATGGTGAACATTCAGAGGAAGGAGAGTTCTCTTGTGTGTGGGGTGAGGTGTTGGGTAGGATGTGATCTACCACCCATCCAGAGTAAGAAGATAGTTTTGGAAGAGTTGTGCATTCTTCCAAAACATCCTAAGGAGAAGAAGGTTAAGCCTATTTGTATGTCTACTGATCTAAGACATTCCATACACTGCTCAACAACTGAGGGCCCAAGCAAGTAAGTTAAAACTGAAGATAAAGTAACTGCATTAACAACCAGAGATGAAAACACAGTAGGATTTCTTTCTTCTTCTTTTTGCTTTTGAGACAGTGTATCAAATTGAGGATGACCTTGAACTGACCCCCCTGCTTCCACTTCTGAAGTGCTGAGATTATAAGCCACTGTACCAGCAATAGTGGTTTATTATTGCTGCTGTTATTTTATTTACAGTATTTTAAAATCTATTATTACTATTAGTGTGTGTGTGTGTGTGTGTGTGTGGTGTGTGTAGGCTCATGTGCCACAGTTTACATGAATTGAACTCAGCAACTAACTTTACCCATGGAGCTATCGCATCAGCATAAGTGGATTCTTTTTTTTTTTTTTTTTTTTTTTTTAAAGATTTATTTATTTATTATGTATACAATATTCTGTTTTCATGTATCCCTGCAGTCCAGAAGGGGGAGCCAGATCTCATTACAGATGGTAGTGAGCCACCATGTGGGTGCTGGGAATTGAACTCAGGACCTCTGGAAGAGCAGTCAGTGTTCTTAACCTCTGAGCCATCTCTCCAGCCCATAAGTGGATTCTTAATAATGACGCAGACTATATTTCTACGAAAAAATCCTTTGACCTCTTCATGTAAACTGTAGCACATGAGCCTACACACACACACAAAGGTATCCTCACATACGGTAGGGGTTGTTCAAGCCTGTAATACAGATAAACTCAGACACCTCCAGGACAGTGGGCGGGCAAATGTGTATCACTGATTAGAAAAGCCACCAACAAACATTAAGGAAGGGCATGGCAAACACTAGTTATAAGGACCACGCCCCCGTCCACAGGTCAGCCAGTCATTTCATTGGCAACACTAGAGTTAGGTCAAATCAAAATGCTCTCCAAGAAGCCTGGAGCTCCTGTGCAGTGGTTCTCAACCTTTCCAATGCTGCGATCCTTAAATACAGTTCCTCATGTTGGGGGTGATCCCCCAACCATAAAACTATTTTCGTTGCTACTTCATAACTGTAATTTTGCTACTGTTGTGAATCATAATGCAAATAGTCTGTTTTCCGATGGTCTTAGGTGACCCTTGTGAAAGGGGTCGTTCGACTACCCAAACGTGGTCTCGACCCACAGATTGAGAGCCGTAGTCCTAGCAAGTGGACTATAAAGCAGAAGAGAATGAGAGGGCCGTGGCTGATGACAAGATCCCAGGCCCGGGAGTGGACTGGGGTGATGGTGACGCCTTTGGGCAGGAGGCTTCCCGTTAAGTGGAGGGGCCGTAGATCAACTAGAACGGGCTCGAGAAAGTTATGTGCACAGTAGTCAAAAAAGCAATGCGGCCCATCGCCACGCCCCGTCCTCCGCACCCGCCTGGAGGGAGCGTGTTAAAGGCGTGAGGACGGCCGCCGCTCACCTCGTAGTGCACCAGCCACTCGCGGGTGGGTAGGGCAGGCGGCCTTTGCTGGAATTGCGCAGCGCCCTTAGAGTTTCCCAGCAGCGACCCTCCGACGGCATGGCGGGCCACCTGCAGCGCCACAGAAACCGCTACTGACAAAACACACCCTCGAATCCGCCGCCGAGGAGGCGCCGGCCTCCGCTTCCGGGTTTCCCGCCCCCACGTCCGGCGTAGCCCCCGCCCGTAACGGTCGCAGACACCGCCCGTCAGCGGCGCACCTCCCACTCGTCAACGCCCGCGCCTGCGCAGATGGGGGTGGGGGTGGGAGTCAGCGCCAGGAAGCGGAAATGAGGCGGTTCTTCCAGCTTTGTGAGGCTCCTGCTGTAAGAGACTGACTGTTCTGGGAAAGCTAAAACGGAGATATAATTTCTTACAGGGCTACGCTAGAGAAATGAAACGCGTCTTCACTAAAAGTTGTACGTGAATATTCATACCGACGGTAATCGTAATGCGAAAGCCTTCCAAATGGCAATCTCCTGAATTAGGAAAGTATTCTGTAAAGTACAATGGAATTCTTCCCCTGTCCCACGTAATAATGGTACCTTCTGTAACATAAACCTTGAAAGCGTTTAGCTAGAGTAAAAGGAACAAGTTGCCGGGCGGTGGTGGCGCTTGCTTTTAATCCCAGCACCTGGGAGGCATCACTGAGTTCGAGGCCAGCCTGGTTTACAGCGCGAGTTCCAGGACAGCTAAGGCTGTTAGAGAAATCCTGTCTCGAAAAACAAAAAGAAAATAACAACAAAAAGCATCAAGTTAAGGAGAGAACACAGTACAATTCCCTTCATGTAAGGTGTCCAGAATAAACAAATCCAGAGATAGAAGTGGGACCCTCAAATGACTGCAAACGGAGATGGGGTTTCTTGGAGTTCATGAGAATGAGCTAGAATTAGATCATGGTAATAATCACACCTTGGTAAATATACTTAAAAAACTAAATTGTTAACTTTGGGTATTAATAGGTCTCACTTAACCCTCCCTTAATCCACCGCACATAGTTGAATCTTAATGTAATTTCACTCAGTCACAACTGCCCAGAGCTGGCTTTGATGGATGCGCTACACTTTTTAACCCTCTACTGCCCATGTCTCTGTGACATCTGTTTGAGGTGGTTTTGAAAGAGTTTCGAGGATAAGCAGTATATTTTCTGGAGAGATAGCTCAGGAATTAATAGTGTTTACTACTCTTGCAGAGGACTCTGGATCAGTTCCCAACACCCACATGGTAGCTCACAATGCAAACTTTAGCTCCAGTGGATCCATTGTCCTCTTTCTGGGCTCTTCTAACACCAAACATACACACGGCCCACATACATGTAGTTTTTTGTTGTTGTTGTTGTTGTTTTTAAATTTTATAAAATCATTGGACTTCAGGTAAAATATTTTACAAAGGTTAATACAGGAGGCCTAGGAATAATCTGAGTGTGGTGGTTGGACACCTTTAATCCCAGCACTTGGGAGACAGAGGCAGGCAGATCCCTGAGTTTGAGGCCATCCTGGTCCACAGTGAGTTCCAGGACAGCCAGGGCTAAGCTACACAGAGAAAGCCTGTCATGGAGAAAACAAAAACAAAAGAATATTCCCAGGAATGGACTCCAAGTCACTTCCATCAAAATAGTTACACAGCTCAACCCACTGGTGCAGAGGTGGTTACACTAGTTGAGCAAAAGAAAAAGGAATCTCTCTCTCTCTCTTTCTCTCTCTCTCTCTCTCTCTCTCTCTCTCTCTCTCTCTCTCCTCTCTCTCTCACACACACACACACACACACATACACACACTCGTGTTGTTCTAAATTTGCCAACTGTTCTTTCTTGAGAAGTTGTTTAGGAGTCAGGGCATGTTGGCACGTGCCTATAAATCCCAGCACGTGGGAGGCGAGTGGCAGGGGATCTCTATTATTTGAAGACAGGGCTGGTCTACATGAGTTCATGCTCTCTAGAGGCTACATGATAGGAGCCTGTCTCAAAGAAAAAAGTCTTATTTGTTTTCAACGTGTGTGTAAATGTGCATATGAGTGTTGTGGGACAATCTTTTTCTATACTGTGAAAATGTGTCTCTGCCTAAGGCCTCTTCTGATTGATTTAATAAAGAGCTAAATGGCCCCTTTAATCCCAGCACTCGGGAGGCAGAGGCAGGCGGATCTCTCTGAGTTCGAGGCCAGCCTGGGCTACCAAAGTGAGTTCCAGGAAAGGCGCAAAGCTACACAGAGAAACCCTGTCTCGAAAAACCAAAAAAAAAAAAAGAGCTAAATGGCCAATAGCTGGGCAAGAGAGGATAGGTGGGACTTCCAGGGAGAGGAAGGAACTTGGGAAGAATCTGAGGCCTGTGGATTTTCACCAGCCAGACATGGAGAAGTCCAATGTACAGTATGGAGGAGCAGAGTAACGGGCCATGGGACAGAATGTAGATTAATAGAAACAGGTTAATTCAAGTTATAAGAGTTAGTTGTGAACAGGCCTAAGCTAAGGCCAAGCATTCATACTTAATAAGAAGTCTCGCCGGGCGGTGATGGCACACGCCTTTAATCCCAGCACTCGGGAGGCAGAGGCAGGTGGATCTCTGTGAGTTCAAGGCCAGCATGGTCTACAGAGCTAGTCCAGGACAGGCTCTAAAGCTACAGAGAAACCCTGTCTCGAAAAACCAAAAAAAAAAAAAAAAAAAAAAAAAAGTCTCTGTATCATTACTGGGGAACTGGCTGTCCAAAGAAAGTCTGACTACATGAGTGTCGGGGCCTAAGGCCAGAGGAATTGAATGCCCTAGGAGCTGGACTGGGTTACTGTGAACTGCTGCCTGATGTAGACAAGAACAGTATGCACTCATCTCTGCAGCCCACCTTGATAAAAATTCAAGGTCCTCTGCAAGAGCAGCAAGAGGGGTTTTGCTTTCATATATTTATTTTTTTGCCTCAGCCTCCTGGGTGCTCCACCTTAGACAACCAGAACAAGAGTTCTTAGCCAACTGAATTATCTCTTCAGCCCCCCAAACTCTGGAGTTTTAGACTTGGGTTACAGTGGTTGAGATGCTGTAGTAACTGGAATGAGAATGGCCCCCATAGGCTCATATAATTGGTCCCCAGTTGGTGGAACTGTTTGGGAAGAACCAGGTGTGGCTTGTTAGTGGAAGTGTGCCACTGGGGCAGGCTTGGCCATTTCGAGACTCCTGTGATTCCCGGTGCTCCCTCTCTTGCCTCTGGTGTGGGTCTACATGTATGCTCTCTGCTATTTGGTCCACAACTATGAACTCTGACCCCTTTGAATCAATAAGCCAAATTAAATACTTCCTTTTACAAGTTGCCTTGGTCATGGTGTTTTATCTAGCAATAGAAAAACAAAAGTCAAGCCCCGAACTCAGGCCAATGCCAGCTAGAAAATAGTGCTCTCTCTGAAGAACATTTTCATTTGTGGGTTTTGGTTGGTGATGGTGGTGATGAGGGAAGGGGGCCCTGCAGATCAAACTTAGGCCCTTAGGGCTAGAGAGAGATGGATCAGCAGTTAAGAGCATGTGCTGCTCTTACAGAGGAACTGAGTTCAATTCCCCGCACTCATGGTGGCTCTCAACCATCCATAACTCCAGTATCAGGGACTCTGACCTCAGAGAGCACCAAGAACATAGGTGTTACACAGCACATATATACATTCAGGCTATTCACCCATAAAATACAATGAACCCAATTTTAAAATTAATCAAAAGAAAGCAAAACCCTAGGCTCTTGCACATGTGCACATACTAAGCAAGTACTCCACACCACTCTTTCAAATACAGGAAAATACAAAATGGCCCAGAATCTTATGTAGAAAGCAGGTAGCATTTAGCGCATAAATTATAGGTACATCCCCACACCTATCTATCCTGTGAAAGTGATCGTCCCCAAATCCTGACTAGTGAGGCCTGACAAAGTGTCTTGCCTTCATCCATCAGGTACCTTATCTTCCTACAGCACCCAAAGAATCAACAGCCTCTCTGTTCCATCATGAAATGAAAAGTTGGTAATTCAGCATCAACTACTCTGCAATTCATGTTTTCTCACATGGACTTTTGTTTTTTTTTTTTTCAAGACAGGGTTTCTCTATAGACCTGGCTGTCCTGGAACTCACTCTGTAGACCAGGCTGGCCTCGAACTCACAGAGATCCGCCTGCCTCTGCTTCCTGAGTGCTGAGATTAAAAGTGAGCGCCACCACTGCCTGACTCTCACATGCGTCTTATTAAATCATTTAAAAATATTTTGTTTTTATTCAGACATGGCCTCAGAAAACCCAGGCTGGCTTCAACTCACTATGTAGCTGTGGATAACACAACTCCTGCCTCCACCTCCCAAGTCATTAGATGACAGGTGTGCACCACCACACTCGGTTTTTTTGTTTTGTTTTGTGGTTTCCCTCTGTGTAGCTTTGGAGCCTGTCCTGGAATTCGCTCTGTCGAGCAGCCTTGAACTCACTGAGAGCTGCCTGCTCTCAAGTGCTGGGATTAAAGGCATGTGCCACCACTGCCTAGCAGTCTTCTATAAAGTCAGGAGAGAAGGATAAAGGAAATCAAAGGAGTCTTAAATAACTGATAATAAAAATTTTATTTCCTGTAAAACCACACAAAAATTTCAAAAATAAATGAATTCCAGAAATACAAAGAGAAATGAAAAGCAATGAGATAGGGATTACACTTGTGAGGCCAGATGGACATTAGCTTCTGTGAGGGTGCTTGGGGACAAGTGGCCTCCAGAGAGGTTTCCATTGGCACTACAGAAAAATACCGATTCCTGCTCTACCCATCAAGAAGGAAAAAGCGGTGCTCACTTCGGCAGCCCGGTATGCTAAACTTGGAATTCAGAGAAGATTGGCATGGCCCCTGTTCAAGGGACGACAGGAAAATTCCTGAAGCATTCTGTATTTTTCCTGCCATCGAGAGCTGGTGAGCAAAGGGTTACAGCATTGTGAAACCAGAACAGGCTGTCGTGAGCATACCTGCCACAGTTCCCTCTGTGCTCAAACAATTCACAGCTCACCGCTGTCGCCGTGATTGCTCCATTTCATGACATTTGTAGCTAGGGTTCCAAAGGAGCAAAGGGATCTGTGAGCATCTTACCTCCATGAGCCAGGAGTAAATGTATCTTTCTGCCTCCGTTTTATTTTTATGCTGATAAAAGCACAGACTCACTC